GTTCCGATGCTTGTAAACTTGTGATTTCTTTTTTCTGTACAAAATTTGCTTTATGTCTTGCATAACTCATATATGATTAATTTATGTTTTGTACTTTTGGTTGCTCTATTCTCATTTCTTAGTTTTATTTATAACTTTAGTGAATATATATTCGGGAAGAAGTTTTATTTGATGGCTCCACCAACTATTAATTTTCCATGGCTATCCTCCCCTAATGTGCCCTTTTGTAAATCTTCAAATGTATGCATGAAAACAGCAAATCTAGCTGATATTTCAACTGTGCTGAAATCTCCTATTCCCTTTACATCCTATAACTCTAAGGTGACGTTTGGTTCGCTGGAATGCCTTGGAATTAAGGGGAATTGAAATACAATTACACCACTTTCTCATGTTTGATTCAAGTTTTCAAAGGGGAAATTGGAATCCAATTCCATCAGGGGATGAAAAGTAAATTACATCCATAACATGATAGAATTGAAATCCTTTGGAGGAGGGAATGTAAAATTTGACCATATTACCCTCATCAATCTTTTGGTATTCGGGTCAGATTTTTTTTAAAAAAAATTCGGGATCGGGTCGGGTTTTTTTTAAGTTTGATATTCAGGTCGGTTTTTTTTTAAATTTCGGGATCGGGTCGGATTTTCTTTTTAAAAAAATTCGGGTTCGGGTCGGGTCGAGTTTTTTTAAGTTTGATATTCAGGTCGGGTTTAGGGTGAAAAATACCCGACCCGAAAAATATATATAATTTTACCTTATATATTTAGGAATAATTACAATAATACCCCTCTCTATATATTATTTTCAATTAAGTTACTGTTTTTATTGAATAAAAATATTTTTTTTTTATTATTTCGGGTCTGGTTGGGTCAAGTTTCTAATTCATATATTCAGGTCGGTCGGGTCGGGTGAAACTTTATTTTGGTCAGGTCGGGTCTCGGGTGGAGGTTCCCTTGTATGGCCATCACTAATTGGGATGATTTTAACTTATGATGTTTATTAGTATGATTTTTATAATTTATTGAAATGAATAATCAATCAATCAATAAAATGAAAATTTAATATTTTTTAAAATTTTATAATATATTACTACATGTAAGTTATAAAACAAACTAAAATTAAGAAAAAAATAAGAAGGGCGATTATGTCATTTTACATTACTGAAATCAAATTATTCTGACATGTCTGCGAACCAAACAAAATATGTAATTGGATTCCAATTCAATTTCCTGCCAACCAAACAGGTTTCAGATTCTAATTCCTTCATATTTTAATTCTTTCAGAAACATTCCAGCCAACCAAACGCCACACCTAACATTCTAAAACCACCGTCTCTCCCAAATAAAATTTGTACGAGAACCGAGTATTCCAAGAGGCCTCATGAATGCAGTTTTGCCCTTAAAGAAACAAAAGATACATGGGATAGGCTTTTCAAAGAAGGGTATGGTGCAGATGTTTGTATTATCACCAACGAAAAATGTGTTCTTGCTCATTCTAATGTTTTAGTGACTTTCAAAAAAACCAAAAAAATTTTGGTGAGTTTATTATGTTTTCCTCTGAATCTCTTGACATAGAACGATTAAGGTGGCCTAATTTACATCATAATGTAACAGACTTTTCTTCTAATTATTAGATATAGGATTTTGCACGGTTCTGGTTTGCTTTTAAACTCGAGTAGAAATTCAGCCTAGGGTATTATACTGCTCTTCTTCTAAAACATAAATGTTAAGTAATGTTCAAGCTTCAATTGATTTCTTTTAATTGGAAGAATATCGCTTCTAATTCATTGACCATATACATGCGGAAAGGTTGAAGCTATAGGGATGTACTCCCTCTGTCCTATAAAAACGGTCCATTATTGATTTTTTTGGCAATTTTTTTAAATTTTTAACTAATTATTATTTAAAATGTATAATTGATAAAAATATGTAAAAATATATTTTAAAAACCTTCAATCAAGTAATTTTCAAATATATATTTTATTCCCTTCGTCCCACTAAATGTGTCTCTTTTGGTTTTTTAAATTGTCCCATTCAAAATGTCTTATTAGAAAAGTTAACAAACAACAATACTTATATTTTCTTTTTTACCCTTATATATCGTTATTTTATACCTATCAAAACAAATCTGTCAAATCTATCAACCACCTTTTAAGAATAATTTTGTTATTTCTCTTGGTCAAATATATCTTCTAAACTATGTGCAAACAAGCACAAATAATGGGATATAGGGAGTATAAAAATGTAATTATTTAAAATATTTAAAATAATCAAGTTCAAAGTTTTAAAATTTTGACTTTTTAAAAGTCAACAAGGGACAGTTTTTATGAGATGGAGGAGGTAATATTTTAGTTTAATATCTCTTTTGTTAAAATTTTAATTACAAACAACTAAATATGTTGTATATTATTTACGTTATAATATTATATATTATTATACATTAAATTTATGTGTTGAGTAAAAAAATATGTGATATAAATGAATTCTTATATATTGTGAATTTAAAAAATAAATCTAATCGAATTGGGTGACCAAAACGAAACAAAAACTTAAGCTTAGTGATGATTTTGAAAACAAAAATAGTTGACTGACCAAAATAGAACCGTAAAAATAGTTGAGTGACTAAATATGAAAATTACCCACATGTTTTTTAACAGAGTTAAAAGATTGAGGTAAATGAGGTAACGATTTAAATTTAAAAGGACAAAAATACTCGAAAAATACTTTGAGGGGGCAGTTCGGTAAAAATGATATAATTTAAGGGGAAAAGGTTTATTTAAACTGTTTTTTTAAAAAGTGTATAGTGGCCGAATAACACAGTACTTTGTCTGCAAGTGACAATGGGTCCGTCACAGAATTTGAAAGTCACTAATGGCCAACTTGGGCAGGTATGTGAATACTGGGCTTTATTAGTATGTGTAACCGGTTATGTATAGGAGAGATTAACAAGAGAGCTTTAGCATATGATCTAATATATCTAGTTGTTTTACTAGTTATACTAATAACTAGTTGATCAAGCGTGATGAGATATCATATCTTTTAAATAAAGTTTGTAGTTTAAATTCTAAAGTTTACAAATAAAATAAATTATGTTGAGAGGGTCGTCATTACCCTTGCAGTATTCGATCAATAAATCGAATATCAATGATTATATCAATATATATATATATATAGATGTTCTATTCAGTTAAAGTTGCTCAAGGGAACTGATACGTTGCGTGCAGTTCACTATGGCCGGGAATGAAAATGATTGTGCAATTTAATTTTCCAGTCTTTATGGAGAGTGGGTTTTATTTTTCCTAAAAGGGAAACGAGTAAATTGTTTGAAAAAAAAATAAAAGTAAAGTTTATTTTGGGATCTATTATCTTTTATAGTGTTCATGGATCTCATCACCTCGACGTAATGAGTTCTAATAAAAAAATATTTTTTATTCAAATTCATCACGTCGAGGGGATGAGTTCTAATAAAATATAACTTTTTATTAAATTTTATCACATCGTGATAAAATATTTAAATAAAAAATATTTTTTATTAGAATTCATCACATTAACGTGACAAGTTCTATGTCACTTCAGTAAATACTGTAGATGCCAAATTAAACTTTCACATGTCCTAATGGGTATTTTTTAGGGTATTGGGGAAAAAACCAGATGGGGTGGATTTTAGGTTTGGGGTGATCGCAATTTATGTCCAAACAATTCCTAGTAACTTTTCATAACATGGCAGCTCTCGAGCTGGCAAAAGATTTAGTTTTGAATCTCACGACTTTGGGCACATTAAATTCCCTAGATTTTGGTGATTTTTAAATTAATGGTTTTACAAATATAAAATGGGGATGAGGTGTTTAATATTGTTATTTTTAATTGCACATGGGCTGCCTACTCTTGAAGAACACTGGCCTGAACTTCAACTATCAAATGCCGTTTGCTCACCAAATGGTCAAAAACAGGACAAAAAGTGATCAATTGGAAATTTGCAAATGGCTCGAGTGGTTAAAAAATGGGACAATAAGAGGCCTTAGATTCTTCTTCCACCGGATCTCAATAATCCACATGCTCTTCGCTTTGTCTTTTTAACTGTGATCTCTGAAAGCTTACCAAATAAACAAATGCATGCCAGTCATGAATTCACTTTTGTTTTGACTTTTGGCTAACATTGCTGTCATCTCTGGCTGCACTTTCTTCATATACTCAACCTTCACCTGCCCATCTAATGATTTTATGCCAACAATCAGACGCCAGCAGCTTTGTCTTCTCTGATCATATCACCACGCTTCTTCTATTATGGCCATGGGAGGGGAAGGGATCAACAAATCTAATAGTCTGATATGAAAATCTTGAAAAAAAGAAGGGGACTAGAACAATTTCAAGTTTCAAGGAAGCTTTCAACCCCTTTAAACGAACTTTCTACTCTTAATGTAGTTTAAGAAGTGAGAGGTAAGCTTGGGATCGCAACTTTATTTTTATTTATTCGACTTAATTATCGACAAATGACAACGCACATTCTCTATAAATATAATTAATTAAACCCAAAATATTTAATAAGATTAATATTTCGTTTTACCACAAAATTCGAGTTAGCTAGACTTATTTGAATTAAGATAATGATTATATGACCCCACAATCCACTTACTTACGTCTGATGTCAACTTTTTTTTCTCCATATAATGGACACTCACCTAGAGTCCTTCAAACCACTTTTTTTTGGATCCCAACATCCCTCATCATACAAAGCAAACAAAGGCTCCTATTAGAACATCAAATTAAGGGAAATCATCATAGTAACAATACAAAAAAAAAAAAAAGGCTTCTCATTGAAAGCACCAGATGATTTGACCTCACAGTGTATTCTTTTTCACCCTTTCTGTATCATTCTCTTTGGCGTACAATGTTGGCAGAGGGAGAAAGGGGTAAGAGTAAATATTAGAATTTACTTTCTAATTTGCTACAAGGTAAGAACATGTTTATATTTTGTGTAGTCATAAAAGTAAGAACGTGAAGAAGCACATTCATAAAACTTACATTGCTCTGGTAAAGAATCAAGTTTTTTTTTTGAAAGAAAATAGAATGTAAAAAAGCTAAAAGAAACAGCCTAAATGATTAGATTCACTGAATTATGACTATAATGGAGTACAAAGGAACAGTAAATACCTCAGGTAACTTGATTTCTACTATCAGTTCATGGCAAACCAACAGTAACAGATGAAGAGACTATGGTATCTGAAGAAGTTGGGAAGTTACCCTTCTTTGACCATTGCCAAATCTTGGAAACAGAGAAACTTTCACCTTTACTTGTCAAGTTAATTTTTTTCCCCTCAACATCCCCATCATTTGATGAATTCCCACCCTGTCCACCTCTTCCTTTCACAAGCTTCACACGATCAGCAGTGCCATTGCTTCCTCTAGAAGGGCACAGAGTTACTTGCAGCTCATCAGCAACAACATATTGGAACGATCCCATGGAGTAACATCTCCTAGCATCCAAATTACTGCTACTGGTCTCCCCTTCTTCTCCTTCTCCTCTTCCTTTTCCATCATTTGAACTTCTAAATTTGCCTAATCTGACAGAAAGCACCCTCTTCCCAATGTCATTGCTTGATAACATAGTTTCTTCCCTTGAATACTCAAACTCAAAAACTGAGTTTTCAATTGGGAGCTCAGGTGTGAAAATGGTCCCTCTACAAAGGGGCAAGTAGAGTTAGACATCAACCATGTGTCTATGCAGTCTATATGGAAAGCATGACTACACAATGGAAGTAATCTCAGTTTGTCTTCTTCCAAGAACTCACAGAGACAAACTGCACAATCAAATGGCTCCTTCAACCCCATTATTTCCTTGTAAAGAAACACAGGCAGAGCATCTATGAAAGACTGATCTAGGCCCGAATCATGAAGATGGAAGAGTTGCTGTAACTGTCTTCGGTAGGCATCAGTCCCTGACATTTCTGGGTATCTGTCGGATTCTGATAAAGATGAGGGAGACCTGTGCTTCATGAGAAATCTTACCAGCAAATGAACAAGGCCAGATATGAAGAATATAACAGCCAAAACAACAATGATAAACAAGAAAGCTGGGCTTATTTTACTAGCTGAAGATGATGAGGGAACAGGATTCGACTGCTCCTGGTAATTATTGCTGTACGGCAATGGAGAAGAAGAGAAGAAGAAGACATTCTAGGAAACGGGCATGCTAAAACACCTGGTTCTTCAACTTTCTTGAATCAAAACAACACTGAAACCATATTTCTTAGTTCCTTTAGATTAAACCCAAACTCATAAAATAAAACGAACAAGCAATGGGCACATTGTTTCTTGCACCCACAGCAAAAACCCAGCTAAGAGGCAAAAAGAAAAGAAGAAAAAAAAAACTAATCTTCGACTAAAGATTGACAAGAGGATTGCTTAGGTAGAAGATTTAGGAACAAAAGAAATAGTACTAGCTGGAAACAGGTGTAACAAGAACAACATGCACTCTTCTCTAACTCTTCTAAAAGACCTTAAACCAAGTCAAGGTTTTAGTTGACCTACCTCAAAAACTAGAAAAAGTCCGGCGTCAATGGAACCCTGATTTTAATGAGTTTTTTTCCGGGTTTGTTGCAATGAACCCGTTTGCTCCTTTTTGGAGTTTCCAATCCCCTTTACATATTGGCTTGTTATAGACAAAGCTGGAGAGGAAAGCAAAGGATTTGGGGACCAAAGTGAACATCAAGGGCCGTTTTGTAATTTAGGTTGACTTGGATGGATTTTTGCTTTCTTTGGTATAATAACAAAATCAACCCCTATTGTTTACACATTTTATCAATTTGCAGCTTGTTTTGAGCCACATTCACTTCTTGAGATTAATATTAAACCAGTCAAACAACATTATTAACTGTTTTTTAAATCTCATGTTCATTCAACCACAACTTCACAAGAATTTAGCTGAATTTATGCTCTTAATATTTTGTTGTAAGAGCAAATTTGAGTTATGAAAAGTCGAATATGTTTTCTTTAACATATCATCATTAGTAATTCTCGTTTTCATGCAGGGTTTGTTTGTTTCCTATAATTGGTTTCCAGAAAATGTTTTTCTCATTTTCTAGTGTATGATTGGTTGAAAACTGATATCAATATAATTCATTTTCCTGATCAACTGATTTTTTTTGAAAAACGACTTACCATCTGATTTTTCCTAAGTCATTTTACGAAATTTTCAATTCAAAAACATAAACACTCAAAACATTATTATTTTATATATGCAATATTAATATATTATTTTAATATCATTTTTACAAAAATATTAATTATTAAATTATATTTATTGATAATTTTAATAATAAAATATTATTTTTATTGTTATAATTATATTATTATAATATATGATATTACACTTTTATTTTAATAATATATAATAAATTATTAATAAGTCTAATATTATTTATTAATTTTATGAAAATAATATTATTGAATTGTTGAATATGTAATATATACTCTTTAAAAATATAATATAAAATTTTAATTTAATATTATATTTTTTAATATTTAATAATATTATTATTTTAATAATTAATATAATCAATAATATATATTCTCATTTTAATAAATAATTAATATAATTTATAATAATTTTATTTTAATAAAATATAATAATAGTAATATTTTTATTTATAAAATTATAGATATAATATTTTGATAATGATATTGACATAAATAATATTAAATAAATTATTCTAATAATTTAAAAATAATATTATTATTTTGTTAATAAATAATATTATTCATTGTATTTGATATTTATAAAAAATAATTTTTAAGAAATTTACCAACCAGTGAAAAATGAATTACACAATATCATCCAAACACTGTAAAATAATTTTCAAGAAATATTATTCATTTTACGGAATTCATTTTTTGAAATTTGTTTTCTGTGAAATAAACGGACCCATAGTTTTAAGTTATAACAAACTTGTTATATCGTAAGACCTAATGATATTCATAATTTGTTATATAAACAAAAAATACGAAAAATAAAAAAATTGTTCTCTTTAATTCTAAATCTTCAGGAACCAGTTATGCTACTATATTTCTTCTCCACACTGATACATGTATTATTTCAGGATGTTATTATTCAATTTGATTAAAATTAAAAAAAAAATGATGGAAACGAAATTTCTATCATTTAAAAAAAATAAGATACTATTATTGATAATATTTTTTCTGATAAAATCACTCCAAATCAAATATAAAAACAAAATTCCTGAAAAATATTATTTCTAATGATCATACATACATATATATATGGATGTAAATGAACTTAGTCTAAACGAATAAAATTTTATTCGTGTTCGTTTGTTTATTTTTACTTTTAGCATTCGTGAACATATTCTTGGATATATTCATTTAATTGTTTTGTGTTCGTAAACCATTTATTTGCAAGTCAAAGAAAATGGTGAAATTACGTATCTAGTCCTTTAGTTTCTTTGACTCTATAGTTTAAACTTTAAATTTCATTTTATATTAAATTTAGTCCCTACTTTGACCAATACTTAAAATGTAAAATATTAAAGGAAACAAGAATCGAGTAAACGAGTCAATAAACAAGCTTATAAATTGATCGATAAATCAGCTTGTTCGTGAACATAAACGAACCGAACACACCATTGTTACTTCATCGAACATAATCTTTTTGTTAATATTCGTTTATTTAACTTAAAAAATGAACATTATACAGATGATTCACGAATAGTTCAGCCAATGTTACCCCTAATCATATAATGCGGAAACCAAATATAGTTTAGATGCGTATGCAGGCAAAAGTGATGAGCATGGGCAGGCGGAGCTAAGATTTTGCCGTGGCGTGTAGTCATTTTGTGGCTTTGGAAGTATTTAGTTGAGAGGGCGAAAAGGATACATCTTTTTGGCGCTGAAATTTGTTAATCGGATGGGGCCTTTGATGTCTGCCCTTCAGCAACTTCGTACTGTAGTTTTCATGAGATTGGGCTACAGGATGCTCTAATTCATGCACGCCATTTGCCAGCCCACTAATATCAAATGAATCAAGATGAAATTTTTAACCCCATACGTTTCATGTGATGTGCATGAACTTGTGAGGATGTCCTAAAAACTTGATATTAAAATTTATTGCACTAAATCGTAATGTTAATAAAATTAGGAAGATTATATTTTTTATTAATCTAAATTGCTTACAAGTGACGGTATTTATTATAAAAACTTTCAATCATTTAACAAAAACGTTCAAATACACGGTCTGTGTTTTAGATTTTCTATACGTGTTCAAATACACGCAGGACTAGATTTTCTATACGTTAAAGTTAAGTTGGCAGACTGCAGAATATGCGCCGTTTAATTAACATATGTTATATGTTAAAACAAAACCTAGATATTTAAATATTAATGACCAAAATAAAATTTAAAGGAAAAAGAGAGAGATTACATTGAGGGTTGGTAAACCTTGGAAAGAGCTTGCAGAATATGAACTTGTAACTGCAAATGCTGTATATAATCTGCTGTCCTCAAAAAAAGCCGATCCGGTTGCATCCCTTTCCCCCCCGGAATTAGCTTCTGCAACCTTTTCACCTTCATTCTAACCGATCGGCCGCCGCCGCTGTGAGCCGTCCTCCTCCGCCTCATCCTCCGGTATTTCGCCTCGGAAAACTGTTTGAACATCCTTGAGTCCATGTGTTTCATGTCGGAACGAAGAGAATTAGGGATTGTGTGAGAATTTCGTAAGGAAAAATTAGGGAGCAAACCCTTTTGAGGAATCAGAAGTTTTGATGTAGAGAAGGAAAGAGAGGTGAGAGAGCTTTAAATGGTGCGAAGAAGAGCTGTAGAACGGGCCACGTGAGCCGAGTCTTGATTTTCCTTTAGACTATTAGTCACGGATAAAGAAATACTATATATATACGATAACAATATAAATTTTTAAATAATATGTGTAAAGGGTGGGCATCGTCTATAAAATAAATAAATAATCGAAGAAAACTCATATTTTAAGGTGGACACGAAAAATTTCAGGATTGACACTATTAGTAAAATAAGTTACTAATCGAATAAAATTCAGATTTCAAATTAAACGCGTGCCTACCTCCACCAGACTGTGACTCCGCCACTACTTACTATATGAATCATAAAGTTTTAATTTCTATTAAAGTTAATTGCACTACAGTTACATATATTTTAATTATAATTTTAAATTATTATGAAAATAACAATATCAAATTTTAAAATACAATGTCATTTATATTAACTTGCATGTGATGATATTATTAAGTAAATAAATTATGTCTTGATTATGTGTCAACTCCCATGGATGGATATAAATTTTGTCTTCATTGAACCTGTTTTGCAATTGCATGAATATATTTTGGCCCCCATATTCTACTAGGCTAGCTGCCTCTGAATCCACGAATAACAGATATAAACCCATTTCATGTGCACAATGATTTGAGATTAACACAAATTTTTATATTAGGAGTAAAAATAAATTAATAATAAAAAATCTAAATTTTATAAGAATTTAAAATTTTTAGGAGGATAATCATTTGTTAGCCGGTCCATCTCTGGTTGCATGATGATGACTTATATTAATCATGGTTTGTTTGTACAAATACACTCATACAATGACTAACTTATATCTACATAAATAAATTTTAAATTTTCATATAATTTTGATACAAAAAAGTATATATATATTCCAAAAATTCATATATTCGATAAAAAAATCTTATATTCGTGTCTTAAAATAGAAAGGTATTTTTGATACGAGTGCATACATGTTGCACTAATAGTACATTTTAGAAACATATGGCTAGTGGGGGGAAAAACATGTGGCTTGTCCTGGACGGCTGGCTGGCTGGCTATGGAAATGGAACCCCTTTCTCTGTCGTTGCCAAAAGGTTTTAATTCCGCTAAGTTCCAATTGATTCGTTGGACATGAAAATGGCCTCATGCCTTTCATTTTCTCTGCATTTACTTCCATGAAAAGAGAAAAACGTGTACTCTTGCAAAATAGATAAAAAAAAATCATTTCTCTCCACAATATATACTGTCAAATAATTAATGCAAGCGTCATGCGAAGTTTTCAAATTGTATGGTGGAATTGGAAAATGATTTTTTGCACATGTCGATGTTCGTATGCATGTGATTTTAGTACCCAAATCATTCATTTTCATATCTGCCCCATTGGCTTCTTATCGTCCATACAAAAATTTGTATACGTATGGAGTTCATATCTAAGGCAATCCTAATATCATGATTCGTAAGTCATTATGGACTTTGCTTGGAGACTTGAACTCTGGCCAATATGAGCCATGGATTCTAGACGGGGATTTTAATTCATTATTGAGTGCGGATAGAGGATCGGGGTGCTCTTGGACGCTCCGGTGTTAGTAGGGGTTCACTAATTTTATTTTCGACAATGACTTTCTTGATATAGGTTTTCATGGTTTGGCTTTTACTTGGGTTCGGGACAACCTTCGTCAACGTCTTGATCGTTGTCTAATGAATCATTCGTGGTCAGATTTGGCTCCATCCTACATGATCTTCCACTTGGACCGTTTGGGATCGGATCATTGTCCGAATCTACTTCATAGCGCTAAGGCTTATACTCCCTCGATTCCACCTACATTTTGTTCTCTCTTATTTTGGCAGGATAGGCCGGGATTCAAGGAGTTACTGCATGATAATTGGAATCATGACATTAGTGTTGTCGCGGCCTTCTTTCGGTTGGGCCCGGAATTGGACTTCTGTAACACTCCAACCCGTATCCGACCCGAATACGAGTCCGAAATGTCACATTGACTTTTTGAAACCATATTCTTGTAAAATAACAAAATATTTGAACTTATATTAAGAAAATACGATAATATATTATTGAATTATGTCCGCTATAAAATTTTAAAGCAAAAACGTATTTATGAACAGTACTATACGGTATGAACAGAACCGTGAACAATACAATGAGCAGTACCGTGAACAGTACTGAATGTTAAAATTTTTTCAGATTGCTTCAGGGGTATCGATACCCCTGCTACAGGTACCGATACCCTGCTACAGTAACTTTCATAAAATACATATAAATTCATAAAAATCTAAGGTTTCATCCATATAAAATTTCCATTTACATATACACATTTAAAACATTACAAAACTCAATCATATGATTTTACAAACCATTTAGAGCATATCGGATTCAATTCTTTATTTACATGCCAACCACTATAATTATTACAAAATACATACTATTTAATTCTTTTTTGATCTGATGTTTGGAAAGAAGGAACTGACCTATCTTACATAACTTTTATCAATCTTCCTCTTCTCGAAACCTACGTGTGAATCAATTACACGCTAAGTCATAGACTTAGTGAGGCATATAAAACATAATTATATGCTAACTGTAACTTCTACAATGCATGAACATTGGTACTACCTTATCATACCAAAACATATATTCTTCTCTGTAACATATACATACGTGCACATATCATGTAACATAACATCATTAACATGCTTATCATTTCTCATTTTATCATCATTAATTTCTTTTTATACCATATCAGCATATCATATAAACTCTAAATCACACTAATGCATAAACAATTACCAATCTCATATAACAAATACATTTCACTTAGGAATACACACATATCACATATAAATCTTGTAAATTACTTTTGATATCTTTTATAGGCCCATGTACATTATTGAGAACTTAAGGTATTCGAGTACATTGAGGTTGCACTATTACTGTCACCACAGCTAGTATAAGTCCACTGAGTGGCATATGAAATTTGTCCCGAAGGTATTTGTCCCGAAGGACCGCGTAAACCCTCGACTCTTGGCATGCCAGCTATACCTATAACTCTCGTATCATATAACATGGGCATTTTTCTTATGCTTCATATATTCATGTACTCATATAATTGCTCTTATGATCACATATCACATGTGCATATAATCACATAGCTCGTATCACTTTGCATGGTTTCACATAAACATATATATATCACCTGTATCACAAGTGCATGTATTCACACAATTCATGTAACATATGCAATAATATATATCACATACACTCATGCCACATAAGCATCATATCAATCATAAATTGAATAATATTTTAGGAGTCACTTCTTACCGTAGTAACTCCGTCACTGGCTCATCGCAAGCCAATGCTTGATTAATAACATAAGTACAATTAAATTGTACTCACCTTAGCCTTGGTTTGATTCGATCCTAATTCTTTAATTGTTCCAGAACTTGTTTAGGCTTAATATCTACATAAACATAATTTTTGAGACAATTATCAGAAGCCTAAACCTTATAAATTGATACTAATAACTTAAACTAATTTAATGAACCAATCTTCAACTTTTCCTTTAGGGGTTATCGATACCTCCCCTAGGGAATTTAATGAACCAATCTTCAACTTTTCCTTTAGGGGGTATCGATACTTCCCCTAGGGTATCAGTACCCCTATTGAAATCTATAATTTTTTGTTCAAGAGGGTATCAGTACCTATTGAATGGGTACCGATACTCTTTGCCCAGAAATCACATTTTCAAGCCCGGAAATCATCAACTCTTCACTCAATTCTTCTATTTTAAACCCCTATCATGTCATTAAACCAAACTACCATTACATAAACCAACTTATATCCATATAAATCATCTTTAACCTCAAAATTCCTTTCTCCTTATAGAATCAAGAATCATACCCAAATTTTCAATATGTTCTAATTTCAATTCTATCAATTCATATCTCTTAATTCCACTTATGACAAGTCAAATTTGACTTCCACTTCTAATTATGAACTCTATTCCAAGATTTCATTCAAGAACTCAATTCCAAGATTTCATTCAAGAACTCAAAATCTTTAATCTTCCCCAACTCCTTTATCTTTTGATTTTAAGATAACTTAAGCTTTCCTTAAGCTTAAGTATCACCTAAGGATCAAAACCCACTCTTGAATTTTAAGGATTAACCAAAATAAATCAAACTTACCTTGACCTTGGGACTTCACATTGAAGAAGAGAAGAAGATGAAGAAGATAAGTCTGGAAACTTATCTCTTCAAACATGCACTACATGGGTATTATAATACCCACTAATTATTATTTAATTATTTCCCTTGTTCAATAACCTATTTGCCCTTTGACTCTTTCAATAATTACTAATAACCCTTCAGATATTATTTTTAAATAAGTCATTGAACTATTCAACTTTTCCACTTTAATCACCAAATTCAGAAATTTTACAATTTAGTCACTAACCCGTAGTTTGGGATGTTTCAACTTCGACTTAGGAAAATGAATTAGGAGTCGCCACCGATCATTTATTTTAAAACAAATGTGTTGATCGGATAACTTATTTTTTACTTGATATGCGTCCTACCAAAGATGTGTCGGATTCGGGAGTCAGTTACAGTCAATGAAGGGTTAACACCCTTGAACTGTCCTTTCGGTACTACATAATTTTCAGTTGTCTTTAATTAAGAAAATTGCAAGTTCAATTAAAAAGGTAAAAATTGATCCAAATTAATTACCTTAGATTGAAAAGTGTACCCTTTAAAAGTCGAGAATGTGTTAGAGAAAAAAAAGTAAAGAAAACAAATAAGACAAAGAGAATAAAATGAAGGAAAAATGAAATAAATAAAACGAGATAAAGAAAGGAAAAAAATAGAGTAAAGTTAAAAGGTAAATAAAAAAATATAAAGAAAATAAAATAAAGATAAAGATAATAAATAAATAAATATGAGCAAATAAATCGAAGATAAAAATAAAAAAAATAAAGAGAAGAAAAATAAATAAACAAAACAAATAAGATAAGGAAAA